CCTCCCCCCCTGTACATGCCGTACATGTCGATCGACTTGCAAAGCTCGATTGCTCCGCAACCAAGGGTGTGTGGAAAGAGCTCGATAGGTCGAGGGAAAGCCCTCCACGAGATGTTTTCCAAAACCACTACGTTTAGCGTTGGCACAACCTTGGGGGCGGAGCAATCGAGCTTTGAAAATCGGTCGCGGGGTTGACGGGGTATTTCTCCGCCTCTTGAAGGGTTGAGCCCGCGGTCAAGATCCCGGCTCCGCTCCAGCACTTCCTTCGGCAGCAACGCGGAAACTCCGTGGGTACCGCCAACCTTCGTCTATCGCGTACCCAATCCTAGCATTTACAGAGTCTACTCTCGCTGGGGGGCGGGGGGCCCTGCGCTGCAACTTTTCCCCCTTACTTGGCCCTTGTCGCGTTCGTATGTAAACAAAGATGATGGCGGCGATGTCGTGGGAGAAGTGCTGAATTTCAACACTTACCCCGCACCCGCTCTTTCTTCATTTTTCATTTCAACATTTCAACACACATGAACATGAATACATGAGTAGTCTACGTTGTTTGTTTGTTTGTTTGTGTTTCTCCCATCACTTGCCTCTGTCGTCTGCCCCTCTGGCCCCTATCCTTCACTTCTACCAGCTAGACGACCCAACCAGGGTCACATAGGAGGGGGGGGGTTGGACCCCCTCCTGCGGTTCGTGTACGGTCGGTGTTTCGTGAGAGCGCAGGCGTACCCTTCCTTTTTTTTGCACATGGAAACAGCGAGCAGCGACCCACAAGAACATACTTGTAATCGGCTTGTGAAGTTACACATGAACGGGGATCGTCCAATCTTGATTCTCGTGAACAAATTGGTGAAGGCACCCAAATCCGACAGGTACACAACGATATTTTGTACAAAGACAAATTGCCGGCGGGCGTGTGCTGCCGCCGTGTGGACGAAAGAGCAAGAGGATGGCGCAAACTGCGGTGATCACAGCAGACAGAGACAGACCTCGTGGTCCCCGACTGGTACGCCTCGTGAAGAGTGTCCACGATTCCGGGGATGTCGGCGACGGCCGTGTACTCCATGTTGGTGCTGGGATATTTGTTGTCCGGGGAGGCCGGTGCACCTTGCCGTTGTTGGTTGCAGAGCCAGATGAGTCAGTGGCAATTTCGTTGTGTGTGTATTTTTTTTTCCTTCAAATCCACCAGGGGCAAGGGGGGGGGAAAGAGAGCAGGTTGCGAGATCTTGCGATTTCTGGGCCCCCTTTTGCGCAACTGGCGCAAGGCAGGTGCGTGCTGTCACCACTCGATCCGTCGGAGGTGGTAGGGCGCACACATGTTCAGCCGCATTCTATCTTGTTGACTCACTCGTCGGATACGCTTGCAATCGGCGTGGCAAAGGTGAATCTAAACACCAAGCAAGAGGAGCCAGCGAGCCAGCAGGAGGAAGGAAGTTTGTTTTGGGTTTTGGGGTTGAACGTGTTAATTGCGCCGCATCTTGGCCGCATCGCCGCATCGCCGCGTCGCCGCCCGTCATCACATCGAGCTGTAGCGTGCACGTAATCTACGCAGCAACACGAGAGCGAGCACGCTCTACCCTGGCACCCGTCGTTTCCTCATGCACAGCAACCGATGCTTAACCCATCGCGATCGAAGTCGTTGCAAATCTACAACACCGCCTTGGGTGCCGATTGGGACGTCATCTACGCGAGCATGAGAGGGCAAGCGATGCGTACAATGCTAGCATCAACGCTGGTAGCCCGGGGTGTCCCGAAGGGTACAGCACCACGTGCATCGAGGCGGAGGTTTGCTTCGCTCCTCCTCGGCGCAGAACGAAGGCACCCGAGCCATGGCAGCAGCGGCAGCAACAGCAGCAAACTCACTGACAGCAGTAACGCAGAGAGCGGTGGTGTTGCGGGCGCGAGCCCCGCCGGGATGCCCGCGCCTTGGTGGCATCAGAAGGGGCAGCTGCGACAGCTCACCACGGTGACCGTCACCAATCACGAGGCACCGGCGAAAAGAAGCAGCAGCAGCAGCAGCAGCAGCAGCTCTGATTCGACCGCCTGCGCTTCCAGAGCCACGCCGACAGCAGCAGTAGACCTTCGGAGCGACACGATGACGAAGCCGTGCAAGAGACTGCGGGCCGCTATGGCCGGCGCCGAGGTCGGTGACGACGTGTTTGGAGAGGATCCGACGGTGGCTAGGCTGGAGGATTGCGTGGCCTACCTGCTCGGTAAAGAGAAGGGTCTCCTGGTGCCGAGGTGATTTTTGGTTGTCTTTGGGTCGAGTCACCGTCTGCATGCTGTGCCGACTACTCTCTATTGGAGTATTGGACATGTCAACCACAGCGTCGCTTTTTCTGATGCAAGCACGTTCTTGTTTGGACGGGAACGAACAGTACAGACGACAAGATTGCAGGGTGAAGGCAAGATAGGAGTGTTTGGCGTTCATGTTTTTGCGCGTGGTTCTCTTCATGCTGGCAGCTCGTTATTTAGTGGCTCTCTCAGTTTGCTTTTGCTTCCCTCGAAGGTTTAGCGGAATGCGGTGCCGTTACAACCACATGGTTGCCACAGCAGCCGCCCGTTGTTGTCCAGGAATCATACCTTCAGGATTCAATCAGCATCAATTTTTGTTACCCGCTCCCCTCCCACTTGTCCTAGCCAACCATCCACCGAATCCACTGCTGTCGAAATTCTCTCGAACGTCAGCGGCACGATGGGGAACCTGATTGCCGTGGGCGCGCACTGCCGTCGAGGAGACGAGCTCATCCTCGGAGACAAGTCGCACATCTTTCAGTACGAGGGCGCGGGGGCTTCTGCCCTGATGGGGGTCTCCTACCACACGGTCCGCAACGCCGAGGACGGGGGACTGGAAGTCGCGGACATAGAGACTGCCGTCCGTGGCGACGACCCGCACTATCCGAGGTGAGAGGTTTTGGGGGGTACAAGAGAATTAAAAAAAAAAAATGACCGGCAGGCGGGTCGGCACCGGGGGCGATGTACCCAGAGAGACGGCAGTCACACAAGCATCCACGTTGGTGTTCGTACGCAAGACGAGGAGCAAGGCGCGAACTGTTTTCAAAGGGCCGGTAACAGCGGGTACATGGGGCAACGAAGATAAGGCAGCACAGATAGCGATCGGCGTCATCAGTTTTGCTCCCATGGGATGAGGCGGTTGCGTGTTTTAGCTCGGGAGTGGGGGAGGGTTACCTCGACCCTCCACATTGCTTGTTCGCCCCGCACACAACGACACAAGAAGGGGATGGTGCTAGATGGTCAAGCCGAGCGTGCATGTGGCACGAGAACGGCGTGATGGCACTACTTGATTGCGACTTGGCACGAGGTCGATCTGAACGCCGGGGGGTGCAATCTGGCACTATCCCCGTTCCACCGGCAACCCCTCACCTACCCCCTCTACAGCCACGACTGCGCATGACAATGCCGATAACTCCCGAGCCCGTCGCACGCGTTTCTGGGCGTGTTGGCTGTTCCTTCGCTATGCTTCACCTTGCCGTGTTGTGTCGCTCAAGGTCGTCCTTGCTGTGTCTCGAAAACACGCAAAACTTGTGCGGGGCGCGGGCGATCGCCCCGGCGCGGATGGCGGAGATGTGCGCCGCTGGACGTCACGCTGGGCTTAAGGTGCACGTCGACGGTGAGTCTTTCGACATCACCTATGTGTGGCGCGCAGGCAAACGACCATGACGTCGTCACTGAGGCACACTATTGGGAGCGGTCGAACACATCGAAATATTTTTGTCCCCTCTCTCGGTCTCTATCGATGTATGCCCATCTCTCTCGCTCTTTCCACCCTGCTATGCTCTGCGTGGTACAAGTCTTGGGGGCGTACTGCTGTACTTTGTGGGTTTGTCGTGTCTTCGTACCGTGCCATGGTGTACTACCCGTGCGTAAGTTACCGGTGCTGCCTTCCGCCCGCATTTTGCGCGGCCGCAACAGGCGCAAGGCTCTGGAACGCAGCGGTTTCCCTCGAGGTCCGGCCGTCGGAGCTGGTTTCCGACGCGGACAGCGTGTCGGTCTGCCTGAGCAAGGGGCTAGGGGCACCGGTGGGGAGTGTCCTCGTGGGCTCAGAGCAGTTCATCTACGAGGTTCGTATTTGTGCGTACGCGATTTTCTGGTTGTTCATTGTGAACGAGGGCTGTGCATGACGCTCGGATGTCTTGGAGGTCGGTCGTGTGACGTCCGGTGCGTTCTTCGTGGGGAACTAGGATGGCGTGGTGATTTTTTTGTAGGTCGCACGTCGTGTAACCATCCGATTTGCTGTGTCGGTCTCTATTGTTTGCTCGACAGGTGGACAGGTCGGTGGTGTGTTGTTGTTATCGTCTCGGCATCACCCTCGTCGTTGTTGTTTCTCGGGAAATCGCACGAATGGCCGTTGAGGTCAAGGTAGTTATGAGGCACGGAATGGCGCTCTGGTCAGGGCGGTGAATAGTCATTGCAATGGTCGTTGCAGTCCATGTGCGTGTGCGTGAGATCCTTCCGTTCCCCCGTCCCATTATTTGGTTTTTTGACATGCTGAACGAGCAGGGCAGTCATTGCACATCTCGTGCTGATGAACACGTTGTCGGGGTGCTTTGGAGCTCAGCAGCCAACCTTTTCCGGCGTAGGCACATTATTGTACGATGATGGGCCGCGCCCTATGAGGTAATAACCTATACGAGATACACGTCTTGATGTGCAGGGCCACCGCTTTTGCAATACTCTGCCCTGTACGACGATGCCGCTTCTTACCCTGTTGGATGTGCTCGCACCGTTCACGTCCTTGTCCCTGCCCTCTCTCCCTGGCGAACCTCGATTTTCGGTTTATCGTGCATGCGTCCCTGTAGGCACGTCGCTTGAGAAAGTCTCTGGGCGGGGGCATGCGCCAGTCGGGAGTCATCGCGGCGGCGGGTCTAGAGGCGGTCGTCAACAACTATGTTCGGCTGTCAGAGGTACGATATGTGCACGCCCCTCGGCATCTTTGTTGCCTCATTATGTTATCCCACCCTGATGTCTGAATACTTAAAACTAAAAGACACCCAAAAAACGAAACACAGCCAACCTACAGATATGTGCGTGTTATCATTTCTTCGGTTCTGGACGTGAGGCTACGCGTTTTGGTGTCCATGTAGACGTATCAATCAGGGTCATACAGGAGGAAGGCCACGCAACTGGAGGAGTTTTTTTTTTTGTTCTCCACGTTCCCGCTGCTATTGTCATTGCCTTCATATTTTTAATCGAGAAGGATGTAGCCGTTGCCGACGCTCGTCGACCCCATGATGACGTGTCGGAGAAATTGGTGCATTCGTACAAACACTGTGCGCACACATTGTAACCGTGTACCCTGCAGACAGCGATGTTGACCCCCCCCCCCCCCCCCCCCCCCCCCCCCCCCCCCCCCCCCCCCCCCCCCCCCCCCNCCCCCCCTTATCGTTCCAACCGTGTTTGTGTGCTCTTGCGTCATCCCCGCGTGTGCTTTTCGTACAGCACCAGCCCAAGTTGTTCAGCCTTTTTCGCGGTCGTAATGTGATGTCTGTCCTTGACGTTTCGTCCCGCTTGCCTTGGCCACAAGACAAGACATCAGGGTTTGCCCCGTGTTGTGTCAGACATTGATTGCACATTTGTTCAAAAATACGTACGTGCTCCGGGTTTGCGGAGAAGGTTTCGCAGCCCTGACAGGCAGCATTTTTCACTCCCTGCCGTTTGTCGAGGTTCTTTATGTCGCACCGGTCGATCATGTACGAACGCACGCAGCCTCTGCCATCGCGCGATATCAATTTTCTGTGGCACATTGCGAATAGTACTTCAATGTTCCGGATAGTCAAAGAAGTCCGAACAGTGTTTATCTCTCTCGTCATTGGGACTTTGTCACAAAGACGTTTCAGCTACCGACGCACGCCGTCTCTCATCGCATACACATGTGTAGAGGTGTACCTCATCCGCCAGGAGTATACTGGTATACCCCTGTGGAACGGCAAACTGGCGAAATTCCGTTCGCATGTGCCGACCCCCCCCCCACCCCGGCGATGTTGTACGAGACGCTGTCTGTCGCATAACCATGGTGTGCGCGTTTGTTCATCATCGTGACAATATTTGTCCGTGGGCACCGAAACAGGACCATGACAACGCAGCGGCTTTGGCCAACGGGCTTGGCGCTTTGCGTGGGATTAGTGCCGAGCGTTCTCCAGCAGACACGAACGCGGTGTACTTTCAGGTGGGGTTGTGTCGCTGCCGCTATCGTGTATAGCGTTGTGCAAAGGCGTTGCCATAGGACACTGAACGTCAGTCCGTTGGCTGAGACGAAACGCTGGCGGCGCGGATGAAGCGCAAAGACCTTACTCGAGTTGTTTTTTTTTAGACCGTTCAAAAGTTGTGTCATTTCCGGTTTATTGATGATCCCGATCCGACGACACCTGGTGCAGGTCACTGGCATGGATGCGCAGGCGTTTGTGGACGCCCTCGAGCGGGATCATGGAGTCTTGATGGGCTCGGGGTACTTTGGGGGAAGCACGATACGGGCCATGACGCATCTCGATGTTAACAGGGAGGGCGTCGAACGCGCGATCGAGGCTTCACGAGCAGTGCTTGCAGACGCCACAGCAAGCTGAAAAGTTGAAAGGTCCGCCGCCGATGTTGAGTGCATCCATCTACTCGAATCTCGTCAGACGTGAGAAGGCACTTTTATTTGCGACGAGTTCCGTGTATTCGGCAGGCACTGGGGCAAATAGCATCTAAGTCATAGACAGGGTGTTGCGGCTTGAAGGAGACACGCCGCACGGCGTAATACCGTCTGTTTCCACTCAGGACGTTGCCAACCGTCACTCAGAGAAGTTACAGGGTGCCAACTGACAGTTCTGTGCCCAATATGCGCGAGGTTGCGAGGGCTGCACGTTTTCCGCAACCGCTGTGCAAACAAACGGTGTTGCCAACCAAAAGGAACCGACGAAATAAAAGTAGCGAGTGATGACAAAAACATTTCTGGAAAACACCGGCGAGATCGGTTAGTGGAGCATCTCGGTGAGGCGGTGAGATCAACTATTTGCTGTCCAGTGCGAGAAAACGACAACATGTCTTTCATCTCTGAAAGCTGTGAATGCTTCGACCGTCATCGCTCAAAATAGAGGGGGCGTAGGCTGAGAGGAATCAATGCCAGTCACAACGAAACCTCGAACACCCGGAAGATACATTGCTGCGATCTGATTCTGAAGCCCTTTTGGGCTTCTTGAGTGTCTGTCGGCGAAATTGTCAGACCTAATCTTCGGCTTGACCGAGGTTCTCGGCCCCAGAAAATTGGCCCCAGCAATAGTCTAAGGCTGCATTTCCCTTTTCCGCCCTGAACACTTTTTTCTGCAGTTCGCTCTGAGACGGCCCTTCCTTTTTGAGCTCGCTGGAAAAATTAAAGGGCCTTAGTTGAGGCCGGGGCTACTCCCGGGCTGTTGTAGTATATATTTGTTAACTTGTACAGCATATCCACCATGCTTAAGGCTCGCTTTTAGCATAGTGGATATGATGTATTTCTCAACCAAAGTATGACCGTGGTGCGAATCCCTCGTGGACCACTTATGGCGCCTTTTCCTGGAAAAGTCTGGGATACGCCTGAAAGACGGTATACATTCCAGTCGTCCAAGTGAAGACACATTTCCCGCCTGCAAGTCGATGAACCGCGTGGGGCAGCGCTGATTACAGGGAAGACAACCCTGGGGTTTACCGAGGTCCAACAGCTCTAACAAGCTGAAGGACCCCGGTTGTACTTTTGTTAACCCCTTTGGGCTAGCTCTTTCTTTTTTTGCCGTAGAAAGAAAAAAAGGAGGGGAGAGTGCGGGAGAGAGAGACAGAAGTACAGCAGAAAGAGACGAGTGTACTTCTCTAGACCCTACAGCTATCTCCACCCATAGACCATGAGGGCTGCCCGCGACAGGACGGTGGGCACAGACAGGGTCATAGACGGGTTGATGCGTGGTCGAGGTGCGGCCGCTAGGGCAGGTGTGGCTTGTAGACCTCGAAAAAGATCAGTTGTCAAGCCGCCTAAACTACTCTATTTTCAGAAGTATAGTAGATTAACCCTTTGGAGTCTACAGGCCTTCTGACAGATCATTGATTGATCATTTTTTCCACATTTTTGTTTTTTAATAGCGCTGAACAGACGGTCTAGTCGTATAGGGGAGGATAGGACAGAAACCCCGAACCACAAGCAATGGAGTTGTAGAGCACACCAGGGTAGAGCGCGCCCGCCCCACCAACATAGAGATGTAAACACAGAGAGCATCCACCAGGGGTGCGCCGAGAGGTCATGAGGAGGCCTCCACGCCCCGCGTGGTCTGCCCTGTCTATCTGGGCGGCGTTGTTGGTAGCGCTTGCGGTAGCGCTGCCGGCAGCGCCAGTTGCCATTCCTGCTCGTACATCGGCGTTGGCCGTCTCTCTCCGGCAGCCATCCACACTTGCTGTGAACGCGGCCACTGAGGACAGCGAGCTTGGCATTGTTGTTGTTGTTGTTGTTGTTGTCTTCACATTAAAACCGTTCCGATCTCTCTCAACCGAGTACCTTCGCATGTCCGTACTGATACAACACTCGACGCGGTCGACTCCCGTGGTCGCAGGCTAACTTACCCTAAAAAGGTAAACTCAAATAAAATGGCCCCGAGGGGTCCGCAAGTCAATAGAAATCAACGACAGATATTCTGGAGTCCTCCACTCCCTCTGCGCGCTATGCGAGGT